AAAAAAAAAAAAAAAAAAAAAAATTAGCTAGGTGTGGTGGTGGCACACCCTGTAGTCCCAGCTATTTGGTAAGGTGAGGTGGGAGGATCACTTGAGCCCCAGAGGTCAAAACTGCAGTGGGCTGTGATTACCCCATAGCACTCCAGCATGGATAGAGCAAGACCGTGTCTCACAAAATAACTAAATAATAATAATACAGAAGAAAAGAAATGGATGGGGTTGTAAATCAAACAAGAATGATATAAGCTGATAACTATTAAAGCTGGGTAACAGGTACGCAGGGGTTCATTTTACCATTCTGTCTACTTTTATACAATTTCCCTGCGTTTAAAAAAAAAAAGTGCGTTCTGATGTGATACAAATATGACAGATCTAATCATAATCAAGCTTACAGATTTAGCAGTTCACAAGAAACATTAGGATGAAAGAATATGTTAACTGATACCATGAGGTTACTCATACTTTAAATCCAGAATATATTAAATGAGACATTAAAAAATGACAATTTTGGCTGGGCACAGTGGTTCATGCCTAAATCCCAGCACTTAGGGGGGCTGAGGCAGGCGGATCATGAGGTCAGGAGCGAGACCAGCCTAGACAACATGACGAAACCCTGTCTCTACTAAAAATACAAAACTTAGCCGGGTGTGGTGGCAGGTGCCTGTAATCCCAGCTACTTGAGAGGCTGAGGCGGGAGAATCACTTGAACCTGGGGGACGGAGGCTGCAGTGAGCCAAGATCACGCCATTGCACTCTAGCTTGGGCAACAGAGACATCATCTCAAAAAAAGCAGTTTCTTTAACAAATAAATCACATAGGACAAAAACACCACGGAAGGAGAACTTATAAATTTTAAAATACACATAAAGCAATGCATAGGCCAGGCGCAGTGGCTCACATCTGTAATCCCAGCACTTTGGCAGGCCGAGGCAGGCAGATCACGAAGTCAGAGTTTGAGGCCAGCCTGACCAACATGGTGAACCCTGACTCTACTAAAAATACAAAAATTAGCTGGGCATGGTGGTGTGTGACTATAATCCTAGCTACTCAGGAGCCTGAGGAAGGAGAATTGCTTGAACCCAGGAGGCAGATGTTGCAGTGAGCCAAGATCACCCCATTGCACTTCAGCCTGGGTGACAGTGAGACTCCATCTCA